TGCCGGGGAGGTGACAGGAGCAGGGTCCGTGATCGCAATCCGGGTGCTTTCCATCTCCTCTGCGGGGACCATCCTCGCCCGGTGCTGTCAGCCCCCCTGGGACTTTGGTTTTCCGCTCGGATGCTGATGTGCCGGGGCGGTGGGGGGGGGCCGAGAGCCCACGTGCTCACCGCTTCCACCCAAAGAGGGGCTTCAAGCATCCCCCCCCCACCCCGCTCCTCACCGGGACCAAGATGCTCAGTCAGCAGTAAGCGATGGTGAGCCCTCACCGCTGACACGAGCGCGGCCGTTCTCAGCTGGGGCCAACCAAACCCCCGTTTCGGCCTCGGCAGTGAGGTCGTTAGCTGCGACCTTTCTTTTTTTATCTCTGCTGCCCTTCCCCACCTCTTTGGGTTGTGTTTGTTTTGTTGCCTTCAAGGAAATGGACTCAGGGTAGAAGAAGCTGGAGGCGAAGCGCTCTACCCATCGCTCCCTTCCCCCTGCGAGCAGGGATGGACATTTCCCAGCTCCTCACAGCAAGGAAACAGGGAAAACTGCTTTAAAATAAATCTTTTTTTTTTTTTTCCCAAACCTCGTTATTGGAGTTTCTGTCCTTTCTTTTGAGCATCTTTAATGCTTTTTCCCTGCCAGGGCTCTGCAAGTTTTCCGTTGGCTCTGTATGAGGGATGCTCTGTTTCATACCCCAAATCCCTCTCCGTCTTTCGGGATGTCCCTGGCAAGCCTTAGGGACAGAGTCAAAAGCCTCTGATTTCGACGTTTGAGCTCAGCCATTTGAGGGAAAATGAAAAGAAACAGAAAGTTTGGGGGGGAGGGGGGCAGATGTTGGCCAGCCTGCTCCTAGCAGAAATTCTAGAAAAAAAAAATAAAAATTATAGAGCAGAGGAAAAATTTCTGCTGTCAGCGGGTCTGGGACTTCTCCTTCATTTTTTAAAATACCTTGAGACTGGCACTTGTGTAGAAATGCCAGGGATTCCAGCAGGCCAAGCTCCGTGCGTCAGGGAGATAACGGCAGCGGGCGATGCTGAATCAGTAAATAAGCGGCTGGTCCCCTCCCGGGAGAAGAGCATCGCCGGGTCCTTGGCTGCGAGGACCATGGGAGATGCTTGGTCTCACCCCATCGCATCCCAGAGAACCGCAGCTCAGGGCTCAGCTCTGGGATGAGGTTGTGGGTCTCTGGGTACCAGGGCTTGATCCCAGCAGGAGAAACAAATCCCTCTGATGGGGTCGCCTTGTGTTTACCCAGCTAAAATCAGCAGGAGTGAATCCCAGGTGGAGAAACACACCCAGGTTCAGAGGAGAGGAGATAGCTGACTATGAAAAAGGGGTTTTCTGTTCCCAGGTTAGCCCTTGCCAGGACCAGCTGTCCCATCTTCATTCCAAGCACAACGCGACGTTGGCCGTGGACCAGCGCAGTTGGGAAAGAACATGAGCTCATTTTTTTTTCTTGGAGGAGGAGGCAGAGACCAGAAAGGTCCAGGGCGCCGGGCAAACACAAAACTCAGTGTTTTTCCCTCGTTGTATAAAGGGGGCTTTAAAGCGCATCTCATTTTTCCATATAACGTAAAGTTTTAAGTCAAAAATCTCACGTCACATGGCAGTCAGTGCTGCTGTTGAGCCTCGCTGGGGATGTGGCCCGGGAAGGGACAGGAGCTGCTGGAGTGGGACAACCGGTCTGGAAAGCCAGAGAGCCTTTCCCCAGTTTCCTTGTAGACCAGATTTTGCTGAAATTTGTCTTCCTTCCCAGAACCAGCAGAAGTATTTTGGTTGAATGGCTGCAGGGCAGCTCCACGGAGCGGCACGGAGAAGAGTTTTCATTTCAAAGGCTCCTCTGCGCGTCTCGGAGCACGCGTGCCGAGGGATGGTCGGGGCGCTGAACATCTAGAGAAGATGCTGATCAAGGAGGAATCGGTTATGTGAAGTTGTAAGACGTAGCAGCAGCCACAGCTTGTGGTCTGGGAGGTTCAGGTTGAGTGAGGAAATATTTCTTCTTCAGGAGGGTTGTGCAGCCCTGGGCAGAGGTGGGGGAATCTTCACCTATTGACATTGCCAGCTGATTCATCTGGTGATGGACTGGAGACCCTCTGAGACCCATTCCACCCATGTTTCCGTGCTCTCCTCTTCCTCCTGCCCCAAAAGCTGACACCTCACAGGGGACGGCAAAGGCTTCTCCCAGCTATACCCCTAAAAGCTCCTACCTCCCACCTTGGTCCCACAAGGACCAAACCCTCCCAGCAAGGCCCACAGATTATACGGGTGAGGAAAGAAGCCACGCTCACAACCCCAACCCAAAGTCGATGCGGGTCCCTGACCCAACCCAGAACTAATCTTCTAATTTTGAGGGAGGGTTAATTTGCTTTTAGAACCATGAGCAGCCAAACCAAGAGCAAGGGAAAGGATGGGACAGGGATTTAGGTGACCCAAAGTCTCAAGTCCAGCTTGGCACCTTGTACCAAAGAAGGTAAGATGCATCTTGCATCATGGTGCAAGATGACATCTAGCAAAGGACATCCGGCTGAGGGTCCCTAGGGTGCTGGATGACGCTCAAAGACACAGCAGCTTGTGCAAGATCTCACTTTCCTCTGTCTTCTATGACCAAAGAGAGCTGCCCAAGCTCCCCTGGAACAGGCTACTGGTTGCAGAAGTCCTCCTGCCCCAAAACCAGCTCAAGAGGTGGCTATGCTGCAAGCACGCCCCACCTCCTCACAGATCTCAGTTTTCCATGAGCCCAGCCACCTGAATTTGCTCTGACAACAAATGCCACATCCCAAGATGTTCAGCTGGTCCAGTTCCAGAGTGGGAACCTCTCCCAGCTAGCAGGGAAGCAACAGGTCTTGGGTTTAGGGCAGGAACATCTTGCCATTAGGGCTGCTCTGCTGAACAGAAGAGCCTAAATTCCACAGCAATAGAAGGGAAAAAAAACCCAAGCAAATATGACTGAGGCATATCAGAAAGCCCCTTTCTGGAGGGGGACAGGGGGGAAGTGGGGGGCAGAAATTCCAGTCCCTGCCCCAAGGACTGTTTATACATTTCAGCCAAGGCTTGCTACATAGAACTATGTGTAAACAGTCCTTGGGGCAGGGACTGGAATTTCTGCCTCTGTCCCAGGAAGAGCCCAACCCACCAATTCTGTTCCCTTCCCCATCCAGCAAAGCTTGATTTCTCTCCCAGAAACAGCTTCAGGCAGGAGGAGAGTGGTCCAAGTTTTATTAAAGCCTTGGCTTATTGAGTAAGGAGTTACCACTATGGAGCAGACCTAAGCAGCTCCCCCAAAACGTAAAATGGTTTGAAGCTAAACACAAACAAGAAAACAGCATCTAGGTGGTGTTTTTTTGCATCCATTCCCAACTAGAAGTTCATGGAGGGTAAAAAGGCTGTACACAAAGCTCTGCTGTGGACACAGGGCTTCAGGAGAACGGGGTACTCAAATTGGGTTTAGGGAGCCAAAGAAGCACCACTAAAGCCAGCGTGAAAGTTTGACTCTCTCTCTCCAGACTTCTTCATTCCCCCCACCAAGCCTCTCAAGTCCTTCAAGTGATTTTATTTTTCTTTTATTGAATAGGCTATAAAAGTTGAAACCGGTGACTTAAACGGGGTGGCTGGGTTTCCGGCAGACAGTCAGAGCTCCTAGAACAGCAAGGATCAGGATGATCAAACCAGCAACTGCAGCCAGCCCCAGTATCATCCACAAGCGATCCACATCTAGGAAGGAGAAGTAAGGAGGTGGTTACAGCCAGAGGCAGGACCTGCCACACAAGCCATGCCCCTTCCCTGGGTGTGCCCTACCTTTTGAAGGCATCCTTCTAACTTGGTGATCCTGCCAGCTGTGGATGAAAAGAGGTCCAACTACAACATCTGCTTCTTTCACCGAGGGATCTGAAAGGAAGGACCTTTGAGCACTCCAACTCATCTAAACACCTAGCTCTCTCAAGTCTTGGATTAGCACTGAGGAGCCAACAGGTAGTGAGGCAGCTTCAGCCACCCAGCTCTGAGCTAGTTACTATCATGGTGACAAAGAGGCATACGGAGACCTACCAAGCTGGGAGGGCAGTTCTCTCCGGGCACGTCCTCCTTGCCATCGGGAGGGAGTGTGGAGCCTCCTGGAGGGCCTGGCCAAACCACAGCTCCTCATCTCACAGCAGGAGCAGACATCCTGGGTGCCTTCCACAGGAGCCCAGCTAGAAGAGAGCCTGTGACCAGCCCACCCTACGATAGGAAACCCTCACATGCTTTGGGGTCTCCTAGGAGAGACCAAAACCTTCCCACCCAGATGGCCAACCCCACCTTCCTAGAAGGTGAGACACCAGACGAGAAGCCCAAGCTCTTCACCCTTGAGCAAGCTGCTGTTCTGACTACTCACAGGTTGCTAGCTTTGTTGAAGGAGCAAGCCTTGTTCAGAGGATCTGGAGCTTGGTCAGCCAGGGAGACCTTCAGATGGCAGGTGATGTAGATCTGGAGAGGCCAGGCAGAGCAGAGGGGTTAGGCTGTCATTTGCCTTTAGGGATTTCCCATGTATCATGAAGTTGGTCTCCAATGGGACCACCGACTCCCCAGGGCAGCTCAAGCCCCTCTGCTTCCTTCAAGCCACTGAAGGGTTCAGGGATCGAAGCCCATCAGAAGGGCTTGTCTTGACCAGTATCAGAACTGGTCTTCAGGGTAGATCCTTGGCTCAGAGGGCCACGATCCAGAAGCAGTAATACAGGATGACCTCATTCATACGTTGCTACGAGGCTGTTGACTTGGGAATGTAATTCTAGACAAAACCACATTAACTTTCTTAACAAAGTGAGGCTATAGCCCTGTCTAGACAGGGGACTTCACTTGCTTTCGGAAGTATTTACCAGATTGCTGGAGTCTCCTGCAAATTTGAATGCATCTACTGCAAACTGAAGCACATCTTGCCTGGGTCTTGGGGATATAAAAGTCGATGTGGCATCATCCAGTTGCCCATCCACCAGGCACCTAAACACAAAAGCAAGGGCCAGCAGGATCCCACTGTCAGAGATATCCCATAACCTGCAGAAAGGCATCTCTAAGTAAAGGCACAGCCAGCTCTTACCCACTGAAGTCAATGAAAGCATACTGGGGAGAAGAGCTCCTGTCTGGGGCCAGGGTGGCCACACAGTTGTCCACAAAGAGCCTCAGAGGTGCATGGTTCTCTGTGTTGACACCAGCTTGGAAGTGGAGGACATCTCCCAGTTGAAATATGGTGGAGACTCTCTCGGCACTCCAGTCATCTGGAAGGAGAGGTCACCAGGCACTCATGAACAGAAAGCCAGCTGGCTCCTCGTGCTTCACTGCTTCCACCCAAGGAAAACCCCAACTAGCACAAGGCCCTGGGTACTCACCAAAACTGCACCAAACCCCATCTGCTCCAGGAGCACTGGGGCAACACCAGCTGTACCATCTAGTAGAAGCATGGCCATCTCAGAGGCCAGCCCAGGGTGCCCTGCACCAGAGGAGACCCTCACCCAAAACCTACCGTTCATGAGGCGCAGAGAAAAGGGTAGCTTCTCCTCAGAAGACAGTGTGGAGTGGAAGGGCACCCACGTGGGCTTAACACCATTGCTGCTCACATTGTCCCTCCTGGAAAGAGATGCCCAAGGTTAAGTGCTCTGCGGCAGCAGAAGAGCTTGCTTGGTCCTCGTCTGCATTGGCTCACCTTGGGTAGTGGCACTCAATAGCCACCATTGCAGGGCTGGTACGGACAATGACAGGGTTGCCAGCAGGAACTGGCTTGTAATTTAAGCTCGTGCTATAGACTAGAGCATCAGGGGTCACCTGGGGAAAGACAAGACACATCATCCAGTCATTAAAAGCCCCGTTCTTTCGGCCACGCACACGCAGAGCGGCACATTTAAGCCTGGAGACTCGGTGCTGAGATGTTCCTTCTGGACATCAGCCAGCAGTATTTGTGCTAGAGGGAAGTAAGCGGCACTCATCCTGCCACAGGGATGCTCTGGGCTGGGAAGCTGCTCCCAGGACAGCCTCTGGTCAGCAGCAGAGCTGGATGCAGAGGTGCTCAAACCAACTCTTATTTTTTTTCCTTCCAGCTTCCATGCCCCAGAACAACAGACAGGAAGGTCTGTCCCTCAGCATATCAGAGGGTGTCTTCTGCTCAGGGGGGGTTTAATGAAGATATCTGCTGGCTGGAGCATAGCAGGGGGTACCTGCTCACCCAAGCTTTTCCCAGGGGAGAGAGACTACTTCAAATTTAAGTCTTCTGTGAAGTAGCTTCATGCTATGCTCAAGCAGCACCCACATGCCTCAAGGTTGGCATCAGCTGCTGGCTTGCTGCAGCAGCTCTCAGCACCAGGTCATCTGGGCTTTACCCTGGAGGTGGCAGCAACAGCATGAATAGTCCAGAAAGATTTAGATACGTCTGTATTCATCAAGAAAAACCCCACACCCTGATTTCCCTGCCTCTTGTGTGCCCTTCCCTGGTCACACCACCCCAGAGCTAGCCCCAGACAAGACAGCACAGCTTCTTCTGCCCTTGAAAAGCAGGCCAAGATGTTCAGCCTCTAGGAAAGGCTTCGGAGCGTTTCCCTGAGCTCAACTATACCACAACCCCCAGCCGGTCTCAGCATCCCAAGGCACCGAGGTGCAAATCAAGATGCAGACCCCCACCCTAGAGCTCCAGCCTTACCTTGAGGGTGCTGCCACACTCGTGCAGTCCAGCCATGAAGGTCACCGTGGGCTCAGCAGTGCTCCAGACCACAGGCGGGCAGGCAGCCGAGCCCAGGGTCAGCTCTGCAACCTTGACCAGGCGTCCCGTGCCAAAGAGGTCCCTGTGCACCGTGACCACCACCTGCGCCTCCTGGCACTGCACGGCCACGGGGTGCAGCGGGGCCGCAGCCTGGAGCTGGGAGACATCCACCCATGCCCAGGGCTGGGAAAAGGCACGGGGCTGCCCCAAGGAAGGATCTCCTCCGTACCTCCATAGCTCTGCCTCCCCTCTAAGGAGGCCCCAAGGGGTGTAAGCAACCACCTCCCCAAAAACCCAGCAGAAAAGAGCAAACCCCAGGCTGCTTCCAGGCCTCATCCTGCCTACCAGGGTCCAGCACAAGGAGCAACTGCTGCCCAGGGAGCTTTTATAGCCCACACCTCCCACTGCTGCTCCCACCCCAGGTGATGCTCAGCACACCTCCCATAATGGCGATTGGCAACAGCTGAGAGCACCCAGTTCCCTGGAGAACCCATCATGGTGGGCTCTCATGAGGTGCTGGATTGGGTCCCTTGCCCACAGGAGAGATATTGAGCCTGCTGTGCAGCCAACTGCAGGTTTTTTTCTCCCATTGTTTTTGGTAAAAAACCAGCTCTGCGAGATCCACAAAGATGTGTCCCACTTCCAGACCATGGGGCCCTGCTGCAGTGGGGTCGCTGGGGGATGGCTTGGGGGGGTGACACTTTCCCAAGGCAAACCCACTCTTGAGGTGCCCAAACTTGTCCCTGTCCTCAGCTCCTTCAAGGTGATGATGATCCTCACGGAGCTTCTCATGTCAGGGGACACTGGGGATTTCCAGGACGTGAAGAACTCATGGCCTCTTCACTACTGAGCAAAAGTTGATTTTTTTTTTTTTTTTTTTAAATTTTTTGAGAAGGGGAAATTTAAACTTGAATTAGGTGGAAGAATAAAAGAAAAAGGGGGGGAATCGTGGAGGAGATGTCCATCAGTTGCCCTGAACCCCATCCCTGCTCCTGCAAGACCAGAGTCCACACGGTGGCGTCCGTGCCTGCGAGGCCACCCGTGTTTCCTTGCGTTTCCCGGGATTTTAGCAAAAAGGAGGAAAATGCTTGTGAACACGCATAGCTGCTTAATTGTTTACTGAACTGACTTGTCCCCTGGAGCCACCGGCTTCCTGGGCAGGACAGGTGTTGAAATGAGTGGTAGTAAAATAACAAACAGAATAATCCTTATCAGGAATAATATTAGAATTTCTAATAATTATTAGAATTGTTAGACCTGGGGCAAAACAGTCCCCAAGGTGTCTGTGCGGTCCATCCCTTCCTGGGGTGATTCAGCAGCAGGTTGTCCCCTCCGTGGTCCCCAGAGGGAGGGGACTGGGGCAGGCTGACCCACCTGAATCCCCCTGCAAGCTTCTTTGTGCCTGGTTGGGGGTTATAAATCAGGAGGAAAAGCAGTTTGTGTATCGAAGTGACACCGGGGAGGAGCACGGCTTTGGACAGGAGTCCTTGTATGGGGTTTTAGGGAAAGCACAAGGATGCTGGTGTGCTCGTGGCTTTGCTCGCACACGGAGGTGAGGACCGGGTGAGATGCCATGGCTGAATCGAGCCGTTCTGGCACGATCCAAACTGGGCAGCTGCCGGTGGGCCGGACAGCCATGTACCACCCGAAGGGAAATGGCTCCGGTTGTTCCCACGGGGAGTAGGCTGACAGGCTTTCTCGGCACCTCCCTGAGCAAACAGGACCTCTCAGTGCTCTTTTGCTTGTCTTCAAGCCAACACCTATCTTGGGGACAGCCGCACGTCTCACATACATGGGTTGTCCCGCGCTCATCGTGTTTTTCTCAGCTGCGTTGTGGGCTCAAGGCTCCATCATGCTGCAAAGGCACCCACCGCTGCAGCACCCACCACCCTGAACCTCTGCCTGTCTGAGCAGGTGGGTGTTGTGGGAACAGGGACCAAGAGGAAATCATTCGCAATGCACGACAAATTAGGAAAATTATTTATTTCTTCTGCATCTGTAGGCAGGCACAGGAGCCAAAGAACAATGAGGTGCATCCCCTGATCAAGAAATTCTCTGGCTGTCTTTGAGCTTGGAAAGTAGAGGGAGAAGTTGGAAAACCACAACCCTGTGCGCCCACTTAGGAGGTTCATACCCCAGGCTAGAGGAGCTGGATCCTGCTGACCGAAGGAGGATTTTCAGTTCTTCCCTCAGCCGTGTCCCAGGAACAGAGCGGCTCTGCCCAACCTCCTTCTCAGCAATGACCACCACCCTTGGTCCTTCCAAACCAATCTCCCCACCTGCTGTTTCTCCAGCTGGCTTCGGATCCCGTTGACCCCCCCAAAAAAACCCTCAGACCAGAAATGATTCTCCCAAGATGGCTTGATCCATCCCAGGGGGGGAAACAAAGGCACGGCGTGGCTGCAGGGTGTCGGATCAGAGCCAGGACATCTCCCAGCCCAGCTGGTGTCCTCACCTCTTCACCTTAGCACAGATTCAGATGAGAGAGGACAGCAAGCGACTGTCACACCCCAGAGACTCAGGGTCATCACCTCAGGCAAGAGCAGGCAGGAAATATTGAAGTCAAAACTACTGATGTGAGCCAGGGTTAGGCTCCAGGACTCATTCCCCGTGGGTGAGAGGGAAATTGATTACGGGAGAGGCACCAGCATTTTTCAACACTTTTCCTCACTTTTTTATGGCTCTTGGGAAATTGCTGCATGTCAGGGTCTTCTGGCTTTCAGCCCGCTGCTCCTGGCGCTGGAAGTAGACCTTGACCTTGCTTAGGTTTTGGACTTCCTTCTTGGAGCCGTGCCGGCGAGCGTTGATGAGACAGCACACTTTCTGGAGCCCCTTCTCAGGGTTGTGCTGGTAGCAGGACCATAGCTCAGAGAGGCCGATGTTGTGGGTGGCCAATGTTTGAGCTGATCGCTTGGTGAGGAGCTTCTCGGCCAGCAAGGGCTGGAGGGAGATGAAGGACTCCAGGCTGGCTTGACTGAGGATCAGCCTGGGTTTCTTCACCAGGTTGATGTCCAGGACCTTGCACAGGTACTTCACGATGTTGGCGTTCTCCATGGCGCTGCAGTCACTGAAGTGCCACTGGAGGTACACGCTGGCCAAGTTCTTCAGCTTGTAGTTATCCCTCTTGGGGATCTCCTCCTTAATCAGAGGCAAAACATCCAGGAAACCATACACGACAGAGCTGAACTCCTCTTTCTTGTTCATGATCGTCAATGCTTTCAAGAGGGTGGGAAAGGGGAATGACCAGAGACCAAAGCCAACCAGGATGGGCCTGTGGACAGTGTTGAGGTGGCACAGCAGATTCCTCAGACCGATCTCATAGACACTATTTTTGGCCATCGATCTGGACAAATATTTCACTGGCTGAATCACGACCGGGAATATTTTCTCTCCATCTACCACCGTCATCTGAATGCTTTCATTTTCTAGAAAAGAGGAGGGGGGAGGGAAAGAAGATTGGAGAGGGAGGAAAGGCAGAATTAGTCTCTTACTCAGTAGGAGGGTGAAACATTGATTGAGTTGCTCAGCCTCTAACAGCCTTCACCATCGATAACAGCTGGGCGACCGATCCATCATTTCACCTATCTCCACCATTCAGTCACGTCCTCAGCTTCCAGCATCTCCAATGTCCTTCAGAAATGTCCTTCCCATCAACACTAACACCTCCCGCAGTGGAATCATCCCCCCCACCCCAGAACATGAGGGCTTTTACAGCTTTTTGAGGGTCGACTAAGGAAAGGGGCTTGAAAAGTGAAATCCACCTTGCCCACCAGAAATTGGCCCATGGGAAGGAGAAGCAGGGGAGCCCATGTTGATACAGTGGTGCAAGGGCTGGTGAACTGGCTCAACGATCTCAGAGAAATCTCCCCGTGGTCCTACGGGCTCCATGTTTCTCCAGATGTCCTGAAACTGAAAGGCAAGGCCTTTTGGGAGCTCAGAATATTGTCCTCTCCCTTACACAGCCAAGGCCACAGTGGACATGCCTGAAATTCCCCCCCTACCAGAAAAAGAGACACTGACAGATGTGGGGATCTGAGCTGGCTGCAACATGGGACCTCCCCACTTTTCTTACTCAAAATCTTCACGTCAAAGAAGACCAGGGATCCTTGTCTTGTGTCCAGTGTGTTCTGGCTGCTGATAGGAAAGCCCAGGTAGTCTTCGCTGGTGCTCGCATCAAGGATGTTGCTGAAGTCATCTAGCAGAGTGGTGTCCTGGAAGACCACACATTTGGCTTTTAATAAACATCACAGGAAGAACTAAGGCAGCAGCTCTGGGTACTTATGTGTCCTGGAGGTTACCAAAGCTCAGGGATCTACTCAAACTGCCTGCTAGAGGACTTAGGGCGTAATAAGCCCCTCTGGTTGGTCATGAAGACTTGCCTCCTCCAGCACCTCAAAACAAAGTGATGTGCATACTCCGTGCACGTCCACATGGGATGGCTCGCTTGGATCCTTCCTGACTGTCTTTCTGCTCAAATGTGACAGAAAAGTTGGGGCCTGACCCAGCAAACAGCAGGCAGGGAAGGAAAGCTGCTCATTTCTAAAACCTCTTCTGAAGACGTGCTGCAAAGTAACAGCAAAACCCCTTCCATCCATAGCCTCAAAGAGGAGGTGAGGTAAAGAGGCAAGACTGCCTCTTCTTGCTGGCCTTCATTTTGGCTGCGCACCACCTTGGCGTCACCAAGATGGTATCTACCAAAGTCTCCAAGCTGCTGGGCAGCCCAGTTCCCCCAGAAGTAGAGGAGAGCTACAGAGGTTTTATTTTGGCACTCAGGAAGGATTTCACAAGCTCCTTGCCAGGCTCTAAGGGGAATTATGGGATGCTCCTGAAGGTCTGGAAGCACAAAGTGGTCCAGTCCTCATGGCTTAAACACTGAGCAATGCAGGGCCAAGCACTGAAAGCCCTTTAGCTGTACTCACCATTGACTCCTCATCGGTGCTGTCCTCTTCAATGCTGTCCAAGCAGAGAACATTGCTATCTGCCAAGGTAGGAAAGACATGTCACCTTTCAGATGTGGGGTTGTCCACCCTGCAGTGAGTGCCACGGCCAATGGTCCCCTGATCGGCATCACCAACCGTGCTGAGAGGTGGCCCTGGATAGGGCAAGCGGGGAGCAGCCCTGCCCTCAGGGTCCACCTGAAAAAGAACTGATTGCCCCTCAAGCCACAGATACAGAGTAGTTGAAGGAACAAAGTCTGGTTTCTCCATCAGTCTCCACCAAACATCTTGTCTCTGAACAAGACAATCTGCTGGGACATAACTATCCTCCTGGGAGGTCTATGGAGATGCTGCAAACTGCTCTGCCTCGATGCCTACACCCCGTAAAGTCTACCCGTC